CCCCCCCCCCCCCGTGCTCCTTCATCCATACCCCCTGCCCCCTCCTCTTCCTCCTGCTCCTCCCTTCGTCCTCCCTGACTAGGAGCTGCAGTTTTCCAGGCATCCGGCAGAGGGAGCCCTGCGTCCCCGGCCGCGCTCCTCCAGCTCGCTTCCTGTGAGGTCAGGTGGGAGGAAGCGGCCAGGCCGTGTAGTGGACGCACCGAGGCCCTCGAGCCGCGCCCGCAGGTGGGTGTCCACGGTCCCGGACGCGCTGGCCGGGTCCTCATCCCTCCCCGGGAGCGTCCTGGTCCCGGAGCCGCGTGTGGCTGGGATGGATGCTGTAGCCGCAGCGCCCCCGCCCAGAGCATCCCCAGCTCGGCGCAGGTGGCCCACCCTGCGGGGATGACAAAGCACCGGGACTCCACGGAAGACCTCGACCGCGGGCCTGCACTGGGCCGGCAGGATGCAACCTTGCACGGGCCTGCAACACTTTTCAGGGCTGCAACCGTGCACGGGGCTGCAGCCCAGCCGGTTTGTGCCACTCCGGCCGCGCGAGACCGCAGAGGCCCCCCAGCCTTGGCGTGGGTGACCCCTGCGCCTTGAGAATTCAGATGAGCTCCGCGGCGCATCTCGGGTGAAAGGACCTTTAGAGACTCGGGACAGCGTGGCAGGGCCTCAGCCCACTCGCACCCCCGGGGTCAGCGGAGCCGAGTTCTCCCAGAGCTATTGCAGCATCTCACATCCCAAGTTTGGGGGGCACTGAACCCTGACCTTACCAAAGGAGGGAACTGGTAGCCACCCCCTCTCCGTGCGGGACAGTGGGGTGGCGTGCCCTCTGCAGCAGAGGACCGCCCTTCCGTGTGTGGCCAGTGGAGTCTGCCACCAGAGAGATCTATGGGAATCCAGATCCTCTGGGGGTCCCCAAGGGAGAGGGCCCAGGTCCTTGGTGTTTGCTCTGTGGGGCAGCTGTGTTAGGGAAACACCCCCTTTAATTTTTTAAAGTTAGAATAGAAAATAATGGGACTCTTCCCCACCCCCATTTTGTTTGTTGGGACAGGGACTTGGGTAGACTTGAATGGCCTTTAACTCCAGATCCTCCAGCCTCTACCTCCTGAAGTGCTGAAGATTCAGTACAGGCCTGTACTGCCTGGCCAGGCACCAGGGTCTGTCTGTCTGTCTGTCTGTCTGTCTCTCTCTCTCTCTCTCTCTCTCTCTCTCTCCCCCCTTTAAAGGGAAATCAGGTTTTGAGAGATCCTGGTGCCCTTGCACAGTGCTCACACAGGATGGGAGAACCAGGCCTCCCACCTGCCCTCTCTATTGCCCAGAGGTGTAGGATCGTAGGATCCTCCATTCTTCCTGGGTTCATTGACTTGAGAGAGGGGTGCTTTGGTTGCCTGTAGTGCTGGGTACAGTGAGGGCTCTGTCCCAGCTGTGCTGCTGGTGGACATTAGTTTTCAGACTTCTCCCCTTTCATTAGTCAGACAAACACCTACTCACAGTGGGTTACCATATGACCATTAATGAAAAGCACCCTGTCACTCATTTGCAGCAGCAGGCCCTCTGAGATTAGGGGAAGGATTGACCATGGATCCTTGGGATCCTGGGCAGGGATTAGTAAGGGCTGTTGGGAAGGGGACCTCCGAGACCCTGATTTCTATCAACCTCTAACTGGCTATGCATTGTAGGTACAGCCCAGCAGGGACTTGCTCCTCCTGGCAGGATGGTGCGGATCTTGGCCAATGGGGAGATCGTTCAGGATGATGACCCCCGGGTGAGGACCACAGCTCCACAGAGAGGAAGCACTCCTCGGCAGGTAGGCATCTATCCTGCGGGCAAGGGCAGCTGCTGGCCTCAGCTCCCAGAAGTGTCTCCTGCTAGTCATTCAGCACCTACCATCAGCTCTCTGGAACGCAGAGGGTCAAGAGAGTCAGGTGGGGGTGGTAGGGCAGAATGCAGTGGATTTATTGCCTGGCTTTTGCCTCCTGGAGAAGGAACCTCCTCCAGGCAGCCTCCCAGACTTCAGTCTGAGGGGTTTATCCTCCTTTAGTGAACTCCACAGGAGCCAGCCTCTTTCTTTCAGGAGCATTAGAGGGAGAGAGTTGACAATGGAGCACATGAGGGGTTGGCTTCAGAATACAGAGGGCCAAATGTTAAGGATGCCCACCTCAGGGTTATGCCTTGCATCTACTGGCAATGTGTCTTTCCCCTCTATCCTGGCCATCTTCTCTCTAGTAGGACATAGGGAATGCAGACAACAGTTCTCTATGCTCCAAGAGCTTGTGACTTGGTTGTTTCTGGGGAAGGAAGGGTGACCCAGGGTGGCCATGGGGGAGGACAGGCTGAGTTTCCTCCTGGCTGGTGTCACAATTCCTCTGGACTCGTTTGTCATGTCTGTCTTCACCTTCCAGGGCTTTCTCAACAGGGGCCATGGTGCCCCTCCAGGGGGCCCTGGGCCCCGCCAGCAGCAGGCAGGTGCCAGGCTGGGTGCTGCACAGTCCCCCTTCAATGACCTCAACCGGCAGCTGGTGAACATGGGCTTCCCCCAGTGGCATCTCGGGAACCACGCTGTGGAGCCGGTGACCTCTATCCTACTGCTCTTTCTGCTCATGATGCTGGGTGTTCGTGGCCTCCTGCTTGTGGGCCTGGTCTACCTGGTGTCCCACCTGAGCCAGCGGTGACCTCTGGGGGCTTCATGAGGGCGGGTGTGCTGAGTGGGCCTGGCTGGGCTTTGGTGTGAGGCCAAGCACATGGGGAGGGAGCTGGGGGTGCCTGGAAAGTGTGATCAGAGATGGGGCAATGGGTGTGAATTTCCCTGCTGTGTTAAGCAGGAGACCTAGGGAGTCTTTAGTCTGGTATCACCTGAAGTATGAGTGGGTACCCTGGCTCTCCAGGGATGTTTTTAAGGGGTACAGCATCTCCATTAAGAAGCAAAAGCCTAGGGTAAGAAAGGCTCAATGTGGTGCCAGTGTGTTGTAATTTCCCCAGAACATGAGCTGACTCCCCTTTCCAGGAACAGGCCTGGGGCTTAGAGCTGCGGGGAAGTGTCCAAATTTTTATAGCACTCTTGTTTTAATGGTGTCTTTCTATTGGGTCCCTTTATTTATGACAAGGGGGATTGACATTCTGTTTATTGTGATATTTTCAATAAATACATTTGAGTAAACATGAGTTCATTACAAGAAGCTGGTAAATCGCTTGGCAGCCAGAAGGTCTAGGACCTGGGGAATGTAGATGAGGAGTGAGTTGGGTTTGGGGAGTGGGCAGCAGCATGGACCTTTGACCTTGGTGGTTTCTGAGGTTTTCTCAATAGGATCAGGACCTGGGAGGTGAGGAGCAGGCCTGGACCCCTTGCCTGAAGCTGAGAGACGTTTAGGCACACTGACTTCAAGGTCAGCTCTTGGAGAAGGGGTCCTTGGACCAGAACAGCTGGGGAAGCCTTGGTGTGGAAGAACAGGGTACAAGTCTGGTGTCTTCCCTGCCCAGGGGCTCTGCTCAGAGGCTGACTAGTGTGCTCCAACCTTCAGTGGCTCTCAGAAGCCCCAACCACAGTGAGTTATCCTTAGCCTGTGTGGGATAAGGCAGTCCACTTTTCCTGAGAAGAAGCCTGGGTTTGGCTCTTGAACTCTGGGTCTTCATGTGAACCCCTTGGGAGAGGCAGTAAGTGGTTATAGTTCTGGTCCAGTGGGCTGATGGTTCTGGTTCTGAGAGACTTGGGAGCCTGAGGACCTCTCCAGCCTTGGCACTGGGCATCTTACTGGCTGAGGTCCCTGGAGGGTTGCCGTGTGGGAGAGTGGCCAGAGGCTGTGAAAGATGAGGCAGAGATGGTTCCATCCCCCTCTTCTGGGCCTGGTCTACTGCTTGGAAACAATCTCCTAGCAGTTCCTATCTCCACTGCTGGAGGGCCCAGTGGCCTTTATTACACACTTACCCTGGGAGCTTTTTGTTGGATCGAACTCCTTGAGTCTTCATTTGTTGGTGATGTTTGGGACATTTTCCAGTTCTGATGAGCATAAAGGAAGGGGACACTAGGCCCTTCTAGGGGAAGGTGGGATCTAGCTGTCAGCTGTTCAAGGATCCTGGCAAGGTGAAGTTGCTGTCCAGCTGGTGTCCTGGCTGTTCACAGTGACATCCCCTGCCCCTGTCTGTCCACTCACCCACCTAGCCACAGCAGACTTTCTTCCCTGCTTCCTAGTCCCCCAAGCCCCCTTGCATTCTCAGTGGGACTCTCTGGGGCTCAGTTCCCCTTTCAAAGTTGTGGGACTCAATACATGGAACACCTTTGGGTGTATGGATAGGAGTCGGTGCTTAGAACTGTTTCCCTTTCTAGAGCTCAGTTCCCATTTCCAGAGTACACACCCTGTGAGGGAATCCAGTGCCTCATGGAAGTAGGGAGCAGGCTTTCATCTTCTCTGGATGAGGGACCCCAGGGACAGGAGGCTGCCCTCATTTCCTGGAGGAATGCTGGAGGCAGGAGGCCGGAGCAGCAGTGACTGCAGGGCGGGGGTGTTAGGGCTGGAGGCATCTCAGTCCCCTGGTCCTGGGCTCTGGGCAGGCTGACCCCTGTTCTGCCTCATTTCTCAAACTCTCTAAGAGCTGAGAAAGCCTGACCCAGCAAGAGGCAGCGAGGTGCCCTCTGGGGTTGTGTAGCTCTGTGCCTATGAGCAGAAACACTGGTCCCATTGGGGTCTGAAGGCCTATCTCCTCTCCCCAGTGTAGCTCTTCTGTGGGCAGAAATCACGGGTGGAGCTGGAGATGTGGCTCAGTTGGTAGAATGTTTGCCTTGCATGTAGGAAGCAGGGTTCCATCCCCAGGAAGGCATAAACCAGGTGTGGAGAGCATGCCTCTAATCCCAGCACATGGAAGGTAGAGGCAAAGAGGATCAGGAGTTCAAGGACATCCTCAACTACATAGTGAGTTTGAGGCCAGGCCGAACTGAACATGAGACACAAAGAAAGATATCCTGAGTTCTAACCTCAGGGAGGATAGACTTCTGAGGCTAATCCTCAAGGCCCCATCTCCATGGTGAGTGTCTAGTGTCTGGGGGTGCTGGGTTCTGCTCCTGCTTACATGGCTCACCAACTCAGATACCAGCTTTCCAGTACTGCAGCTGGGTGGGGCAAGGCACCAGCCATTCTTGGCTGGGCTACCTGGTGAAGTGAACTGCTGGGGCCTGACTTTGTCTCTTCTCCCCTTAATCTCTGAGGAGGACCAGCAGCCTCCTGGGTCCTTCTCTGCATAAGTTCTGAGAAATGACTCTAAGATGTACCCTACATTTCCACCTGGCCCTGGAGATGGGTGCCAGAGGGAGACACCAAGCCCGAGGGCATGTGAAATAGTGGCTCAGTTTTACCCGTCCTCTAGGGAATGCTGTCCTGACTTCCCCTCCTGGGGGCTTTAGGATGTAGGCAAGGGTCGGGCTCCCTCACTGAGGACTATAAGTCTTGAGAGGGGAGTCTTGGGGTAGGTAGCCAGTCTCTGTCCACTTGGATGCCTGGATTTGAGGATGGAAGGAAAGATGACCAGGCATAGCAGGTGAAATACAGACAGAAAGGGTATGTGTCCCAGCCTCTGACAGGCCACCTCAGTAGATTCTGTGTCTTGGACCACAGCTCCTGTGCTGGGGCCTCCCCAGAGTGACCGCTGTGCCCCAGGACCTGGAATCCATGGTTGCTGTGGTGCTGGGCTTTGGAGGCCAGTGATTCTCAGCCTTAGTTGCTAGAGAAGAATTTTGGAAGCTGAGGGGCTAATGCAGTCTCTCTCCTGTGTCAGGACTGTGTGCTTTGCTGAGACTGGGCCATGCCTGGGCCTGCACCCCCCTGGCTTTTCCACATCTTTCTCTGCCCCCGATGGGATAGGTGGAGCAGTACAGGCTAGCATGTGATTATGCTGTCCCTTCCCCACAGAAACTTAGATTTTACTTTATTTTTATTTATTTAAAAAATTATTTTTATTCTTTTATTTTTAAAATTATGTGTAAATGTGTGTGTCTGTCATGTGTGTGCAGTGCCCATGGAAGCCAGAAGAGGGCTTTGGATCCCCTGGACCAGAATTACAGGTGGTTGTAAACTGCCTGATGTGGGTGCTGGGAACTGAATTCAGGCCCCTTGGGAGAACAGCAAGTGCTCTTAACCACTGAGCCATTTCTCCAGTCCCAGTTTCACTCCTTTTAAAAAGTAAACATCAATTGCCAATGTAAATGGGAAGCGAGTGTTATCTGCCACTTGTTGGTAACCATATATGTAAATCCAGCATAGAGAAAACAGCATTCTTAGGTCTGACTAGGCTTTAAACCTGACTCTGACACCACTTTACTAGTTAGTTCATAGGATTAGAAGGGTGCTGAGGACCTGCCATCACCTCATGAGACTCTAGAATGGACTCAGAGGCCTGGAGAGACAGAAGGGTCTATTTCTCTCCAGTACTCTGAATGCATTTGGGCTGTCTTCTGATATCTCAGGCTCCTTACCAGATACTTCACACCTGTGAGTAACAGTATCCTAGTGCAGGTGGCTACTATATGATTGCAGGCAGCCTCTTTTTAAAAATACAGTGTTTGGAAGTTAAAGCCCTTGCATGGTTCAAGGATCAAGCCATACACACATGTCTACAGAGACTGTCACTCCCTGCCCTGTCCTTAGCAGCCTCTGCTGCATCTCATAAAACCATTCTTTGTGCCTTTGTGTATTTTTTTTTTAAGATGGACTCTCATAGCCCAGGGTGGCCTTGAACTTGCTGCATACCTAAGGACGGTCTTGAACTCCTGATCCTCTGCCTCTACCTCTGAAGTGCTGGGATTACAGGGATTTCAGGTGAATGCCACCATGTAGCGGGGATTGTAGGCAAGTGACACCATATACAACAGGTTTTTTGTTTTGTTTTCTTGTTATTGGAGGTTGAACCCAAGGCCTTGTACATGCTAGGCAAACAGTCTACTGCTGAACTATATTCCCAACCCTTTTTTTTACTTTTTAATTTTGAGATGGGTCTCATAAATTGCCCAGGCTGACCTTGAACTCACTCTGTAGCCCATGTAGGCCTTGAACTTTGCAGTCCTGCCTCAGCTTCCCAAGGAGCTGGGATTACAGGTGCGTGCCACCAGGCCCAGCTTCCTAGTGTTTATTTATAAAATCTTAGTGTTTTATAAAATCCTTATAGACAGTAACTAAGAACTGTCAGAGGCAGGATCCAAACACAGGCCACTGGATGTAGATTCTACCAGTACAACCGCTTCTTTTTTTTAACTATTTTATGTGTATGAAGAATTTTGCTTGGGTGTATGTGAATGCACCCATATCATGCAAAACCCATAGAGTCCAGAAGAGGGTATCAGATCCCCTGGAACTGGAGTTTCTGGTGGTTCATAGCCGCCATGTGGGTGCTGGGAATCAAACCCAGGTCCTCTGCAAGAGCAGTCAGTGCTCTTAACCGCCAAGCTATCTCTCCAGCCCCAAGTTTTAAGTTTTTATATGTCACAAAAATTAGATATATTTCCTGCTTCTTGCTGCTTGATTTTTTTTCCTCTTGGTGACTGATCTTGGGGCACATTTTATAGTAAAGAACTTCATTCCATAGGATTTTGGCATTGGGATAATTTTGGCTTCAGCAGTCATATCTGGGGGTGTCATCCCTGTTGACCCCCAAAGGTCTTTAGCTCTGACCCTGAGCTCCCCGCCCCCCACCTCCCTGATCTCAGTGGAAATACCTGCTTCATAGTGCCTGAGCTGGAATGCAGTTGAGGGCTTCAACTTAGTCCTGGGCTTTAAGTCCACCCCTACAGACTTCTAGAAGAATCTTCTGATGTGAGTGAAAGTAGGCTTGGGAAGTCAAAGCCTAGTGGACTTCCTCATCCCCTTAACAGCCTAGAGGCTGTGACCTGCCCTTCACCTAGCTCAGTAGAGGATGGGGGCCTCACCTGAAAGCTGCCTCTTGCTGTTCCATGACGGCCTGTATAACCCACCACACAGCAGAGAGAACAGACTGGGCTAGAGTTCCCCAACGGCCTTTTTTGCCTGTAAAGCTCAAATGTGTTGGCCTGGCAGGTCTTGCCCATGGCAGAGCTTAATAGTTATTACTGGGCTTGGCACTGCTAGTGTCTCTGTCCCTTTCCT